ACTCACATTCGTGTTCGTAAAAATAGAAGAAAGTATACAAGAGAATATTATGAAGTTTTAGGCAAACATGGCAAAATGTACACACTGCAAGCAGAAGATAAAACTACTATTGCCAGACCTCGTTTCAAACTTGTCAAAGTTCAAGGCGGTATACTTTCAAAGACAGTTCCTAACAAATATAAGACAACTCCTGACGAATATGCTAAAGAAGTGGAACATGACGACTAAGCAATTCTATACCATGCGTAAACTGTCATGTAAGGTGGCATGTAGTCTTTACTTTGTCCCGTTGTTTGCGTATATCCCGAAACGCGATGTGTATGGTTTCCATCTCCCTGAGTGTTACCCCAGAAACAATTTATAGCAAACTGAACGTCGTCTTTAACATCATATCCTTTACCTTTTGTCATTGCTGACCAATCCCAATATCTATGCTTATGCCAACCTGCTTGAGATGTACTTAAATCTATGTAGTGACTGTGCGCAGGTAAATTTTCACCTGAAATCGTTTTACTTCCACCTGTTTCCTTTGAAGAGTTTGCACAATACAAAAACCTGTCGACTATTTGAGTCCATGCACCAACACCAAACATTACTTGAGGACCTCTTGCTTCCATAGATGTATAAATAGAACCTACTGGGTTCATTAAATCAAACATATGAGATATTATAGGATTGTCTCTTTTGAACTTAAAAGTTAGTATACAAGTGTTGGGTACGGCGGCACTGCGTTCCACCTTATTCAACATAACCTTACCCAACATAACTTTAAATATTTACAAAACCGTTAACGTATATTTTACAATACAAACGACAACACTAATTTAATCTTAAATATTTACAAAGTCACCAACCACTTCACCTCACTAACGAACTCACTAATGTAAAAAATAAACGTTCTCACTAACGACTTCACTAATGTTCTCATAAATTTTCCTCAATATCTTCATCATCAGTGTTAACCCTATTGTAGTCATACTTGAAGCCATAAACTTTCTCTAACTTCTTAACGTACAATTTACATAACTTACCTTCGTCATCGTATGGTTTAATGATATAACTATTTCTATCTTTATAAACAGTCAATGAAAAGTCAACTGGTCTCGGATGTATTTGAAAGAACATGTTATGCTCAGGAAGGAAGAATAAATGTTTAAATGTATGTTTGTTATACTGTGGAATTCGAATGAGTTGCTTTTGTTCTGTCATTTACATAAAAATAAAAATTTTCAGTAAAAATAAAACTAATGAAATATTTTATTCCTCACTCTCTTCCTTGGTTTCTTTTTAGTTGCTTTCTTCACGTCTGTCTCCAACTTGACTGTCTTTCTTCTTCGTCCGTAATGATACCAGTTACTTCCACCAGTCAATGGGTCAAATGGTCTTTCGTAAGGGTTTCCATACATTCCATAGGGACCATACGGAAAACCTGGTGGAGAAGAGTTCCATCGACTCTATTTAAATGCATTGTTTCACCTTTCATCTGGTCATTAAAGTCTTTTGCGTGTTTTGCAAACTCATCGTCCTTTCCTAAAGCATTTTCTGACTCAGTCGCAACCAAATTGGATGCTTTATTTATGAGCCCTATTTTATTTAATCTTAACTTCTTTGCAACCCAGCCTCCAATCTTTCCTTTATTTGCATCTAATGTCTTTGAAACCCTTCCTCCACTCATTTTATTTACTGCGTCATAAGCTCCAAGTGCTTTTGCTCCAAATGCTAATGCTTTTGTTCCCATTGCGCCTAAAGCTGCCCAAGCTACCATTTACCCATATTAAAATCATCTCTCTTCAATATTATCTCATAAAAGTTCTCGTTACTGGAGAAAGTCAATGAAACATAAACATTCTCACGGCTTCGCCCTCACCGCTTTGCGGTCTATTAACTTCTTTCTTATATCATCTATACGCTTCAAAATGTCTGAACAATTGCTAACATCTTCTACAACAGTTATTTCATCATGAACGACCTTCAAGAACAAGCTCATTTAATATGCTATTAAAATCATCTCAATAATGAGTCCATCCTTTCCGTCTTTAGGTAGCACAACATCTTTCATTGAAGAAGGTTCGACAAGTCTTATGTTAAACTTACTGACAAAGTTTGTTATACTATAATGCTTCGGCGGCGAATACATGTAGTTTGAAAGACATAATATAGATTCTTCAGCAAATTCACTTATACTGGATTTTATAACAATGTTCTCACGAGACCAAATACCACCAATTGACAATCTTGTAAGCAATCCTGCTGAACCTTCTACTGTAAACGTCGATGGTAACATTCCACGAAGGTCATCTATTGACATCGTTGAGTCACTGTATTTAAATATTTTCTTAAAGCAATCGTCATTATCTAACCATGCAATAGCTTTGAAGTTTTCATTCGAATATACATCTGCTTCATTAAATGTAAATCCTGACTTCTTTGCAGAGATGACTTTAAAATCTATTGCATTTGTTTCAAAATTATATGCTATGGTAACTTCTGAAGGTAATGGATGTCCTTCCGCAGTCAGTTGTTCTCTCACTACCGTTTGAAGCTTTGTATTAAAAACTTTCATGTCATCTCCTGTATCTAAGTTCACATACACAGCAACAGGGAAACTATCTTGCTTCTTTGTTTCATCATTATATCTCAAAACATTAAAGTTCTTCAATAATATTGTTCTTCCTGCTGGAATACTTCTAACTTGTCTTATTTCAATAGCTTTCTCACCTCCTACATACTCTACCCAGTGTCTTGGATATTCATAAGTATACTGACTTTCTTGAATTTTGGTTGGTTTCATCATAACGTGTTCATAGTATATCTTTATACTCTTGTCAGTTAGACTCGGTGCTATGTTCTGAATATTTCTGACTTGCATTTTTAATGGAGATAAAATGAAGCATTTAATACATGACGTAGATGAAGACATGAATGAAACTACAGACAAACTTAACTCTTCTCTTATTCTTCCTTTCAGTAAGGACTATGAGTTCTGTTCAAATGGTGTGTATTTCTATTGTGGAAAGATGGGGTCAGGAAAGACATTCAACCTCATTCGTCATATACTCATAACAGAGCGTTTAGGAAACGACTCTTACTATGACCAAATCATTATATCAGCAACTTCAGACTCTATGGACTCAACAGCGAAAACATTTATGTAAAGTTCAAGCATCTGTCGTTAAAGTTCCAGACAGTGAACTCATTGAATTTCTTCAACGTTACATTCGACGTAAGAGAAATATTATGCCATCGTAGAGTTTATACAGTCAGGAATGCAAAAGACTTCAGAAGAGATGGAAAGAATTATTGACAAACACCACTTACGTCAGTACTCAGGAGTTTACGATATGAAACGACTTACAAACTACATTCTGTCAAAACTTTCAAAATACCCCTTCAAAAAGTATCCTTCAAACACTCTGCTCGTTTGTGACGACTTCGCCGGAAAAGGTTTAGTGTCAAAGCCTGACTCACCATTAGCTAACATCATAACTAAAGTCAGACATTACCATTTAACTGTAGCAATACTTATGCAAACATGGCGTTTTTTGCTTTAAACATAAAACGTCTCATAACTGACTTCGTTATCTTTCAAGGTTTCTCACGTTATGATATTGAACTCATTTGGAAACAGTCAGGTATAACATTACCTTTTGAAGAAATTTGGGAAGCATATAAGTCTCTCATCTCTCCTCGTTCATACCTTGAGATTCATATCATGACTAATACCATTAAAGTCAAAAATATTCCATGGGAACGACCAACATTGTTTTAAAGTTTAACCTTCAATTGACTGATGGTAAACAAATTCCATGCATCTCTGTCGCCATTTCTGTTAATATTTTTGCTGTCATTCATATCATCCACTTCCCCATCCGTTAGCTTTTGAGGATATGCGTTAGAATAGCTGTTCTTAAATGAAGGCTTTTCACCTTTGAGAGCATAAACTCTATAACTTTCTGCATACTTTATGTTTGAACCTCCTGAGCCATCATTGACATAAATTTTTATAGGCTTCCACCCTTTGTTCATGTTCCTGCTTCTTCCCTTAGCTCTTTTGTTCAGTAGTTCTACATCTTTATACACAGCACCTGTCTCAGTGAATTCAACAATATTTTCATTCGTTAGCTTTACATTCAAACCCTTGTCGAGTATATTGTTCATTTCATACATATAAAAGGTTTTTATTCTATATGAAATGAGAAGCAAATCCATCTTAGCTGGTGCCGTTAATGTTCCAATTGAACCAACATCAAATGTTGACTCACGAACGACAAACAATATTGTCATAAAGAACTATAGTTCGGAGTGTTTGAAAGAGCCAGAACCAGAGCTGAAATCCGTGAATTTAAACACAGCTTCAAACGCTAACGCTACATCAGATGTTAAGTTAGAGTATCCACCACTGGACCAAATTCTTTCAAGAGAAGCCAACGACAACCCTTACACAAATGTTCAAACAAATCCTTCAGATAACGTAGACCATTACCTTCTTCAGTTATACCAAACAATTTTACTCAAAGACGATAAGAAGCTTTTGACAAATCTTATAAGCAAGAACCAAATAATTCTAACAAAGGAGGACCTTGAAAATGTTATCTCACGAATAACAGGGAAACAATGTGTCATTGACTATCTCGACCCTGAAATCGAATGCTGTGGTCAAACGCCACCATTCATGAAAATAGGTAACATCCGCATCATTGAAACCAGGTACTCAGGAGTTGAGTTTAAGTATAAATATTCGAACGAGTATACAAAACTATCTACTGACTATAAACTTTGTTTGAAATATGTTTTAGTAAATTAAAGCAACTTATAGTATCTATCCAAAACTTCTTCAACAGTATCGAACTCATCTTCATAATGCAAACCTAATCTTATTGACTTGGTGCAGTTTTCACTAACACAATATTTTTCTGTTCTCTTGACTGACATAACTAATTCATTTGTTTCATCAAACAGCAACAACCAAAGTTCATGACCTAATACATAACATTCATACTTTATATTTTTAGCTCTGAGTTCTCTTGTAAGCTGTTGCATTTAATATTTTCTAAAAAGTCAACTTCAACAGTCATTCGCACTGGTGCCTTCAGTTCTACAGGCTCGCCCTGAAAGTCAACTAGTCTGAATTGCATGTCTTTCAAATTATGAGGACTAATGCGAACCCATTTACCTAAATGAGTTGCTATGACAGGAACGTTTGGAATGAACATTGAATTGACTGCATAACAGAAGGATTTATATTCTACTGAACCTTTACTATTAACTCCTGAAATACCTGTGACATTAGCTATTTTAGACTCAATGTACAAACAATTACCATAACATACGTATGGAACAGATTTCATCTCAATCGTTTTGTCAACACTTTTCAAAGGAAATGTCATATGGTATGCTCCCAAAAGAAGTTGTACTCTATGACTCATTCGTGTTATCTTGAACTCTTTCTTGCTACTGAACTTCAATGTTCCCTCAGAAGAGAGTTCGACATCTATGTTGTCAATAGTTTCTTCATTTATGAGAGTATCTATGACTCCAGCAATTTTATCTATTCTATACTCTGCTCTGTTAGGAAATGTTATAAAACTTCTTTTGTCATCTATTTCAATCTCTATGAAATCTGTTTCATCTGTTATGACAAAAGTTGCGATAGTATTGAAGTCAACAACTCTGAAAGCAAGCGCTTCATTCTGAAGACCTAAGTTTGTTTGTAGCTTTACTGTCCCGTATTCGTTTGGGTCTGTACTTTGCAAATAGAACAACATTTTATTCTCATTAAAATATGACTATTGCTGCATATGCGTATGAAACAAATGAAGCAAGAAGAGCACATGAACTAGTAAACGAAAACTCAACTTTAACCATTGAAGGCAATGATTTAGTCATTGACGATGGAAAAACTAAAAAAGTCATTGATTTCGATACTTTTAACACTTATGACCCATTCATTACAATAAGTAAAGTTCCTATCATAAATGATGGAACGGTGCAATATATAAATTCAACAGTAGATGCCTCTTTAGTGAAAGTACTGAATGTTCTCATTGAATTGTTAAAGAGCTTTCGATTTGACGACAACATTAAATGCCTAAAGAATTTAGTCATGAATGAGAAACAAATTCTTGGCGTTGCTGGTAGCAGTAACGATGTACACCTTATGACATTAGAATATTATAACGAACATAAAGATGAACTGAAAGGAGAGAAGGGTGACACTGGACCACAAGGACCACAAGGAATACAAGGAATACAAGGAATACAAGGAATACAAGGACCTCAAGGCGAAAACGGTTTGGATGGAAAGGATGGAAAGGATGGAAAAACTGCTAAATCATGGATATGGGACCTTATAAATACTGGTTTAACAGCTGCTTCATATGGAGTTCTTCAATACCAAATCGGAAAGATATGGGCAGTACTTGGTGAAGAAGCTTTAGATGACGTTAAAAATGCTTTGAACTTCATTTCAAATGGTTCGGATACTATTAAAACTTTATCTGGTTGGATGCAAGAAACAAGGAGTCAAATAGATACTGTAAGACGTATAGCAAACAATGCACGTACGGGATTGGATACTTTACGAAAGCACAAAATACACTAAAGGAAGCAAATGATATTCTTGGCTCAGTATCAGACATGCATGAAGATTGGCTTAAAGGTATTGACAAATCTTTAAAAAATCACAGTCAGTCTATTGCTGACTACAAGAAAAGTATAGATTTTTTACATAGTGCTATGGACGTACATGATGGAAGCATAAGGAACTTACTTAATGCTAACAATAACTTACCAGGAACTATTAAAGCATTTATAAAGTCCTTTGTAAAACCCGGTGCTCTAACATTTAGGTCTTTGAGAGCAAGAGCATTGAAGTCAAGAGATGCAGAAACTCCAACAGAACCTACAGAAGGAACTGAAACAACAGAAACTCCAGAGAACCACCAAAACCAACAGCTAATGAAATATTGTTCGAATATTTTCCAAGGTACTCTGTTCTCATTGCATACATTCAAGAAATAGTTAAGAAAGCAGACTTGACTTTAGGAGATGATGAAAGTTCTGTATATCTTTCGTTCCAGTTTCAAATAGCAGAACTTTTGAGACAGATATGCTTAATGTATGACAACATCTCTGATTTCACAAGATATGATGACGACCATGACCCCGAACACGGTGAAGAAGAAGTTTTACAAACATCCATTAAGACAGGAAAGATTTTAACACAAAGTCTCATTATTGACACCAAAGATGGCAAAGTGGACGTTCTTCAAGAGCTGAAGAAAAATACTTCTTCGGGAGGTGGTGGTAGGCATGAACTTGAAATAAATGAGATAGAAGAGAAATTAGCCGAAAAAGCAGATAAAGAACATAAACACAATATCTCCGATATAAATGAACTTCAAGCTACATTAAATAGTAAAGCGGACAAGAACCACGTTCATTATATAACTTCAGACGAACAGATTATAACGGACTACCATGGATATTTAACACGAACTGAAGAAGTGAAGACGGAAGACCCCAATGAAAGAAGATATAAATACATTCGTGCTAAAGGTTATGACATAAGCTGTACTGTACAGTATGATGTAGCTAAAGCACCAGAAGCATTTGGTTATACCGGTGAAATTTATGCCTCTACTTTCAATGTTAACGGTGTATTAGTTGAACCAAGATTTACTTTGAGAGTTAAGTCAAAAATAACGTTTGAAGATGCTATTAAAAGTAAAGTTGACAAAGTTGAACTTGAAGCAATGAACAAAGTTTTGAAATCTCATAAACACAACATCTCCGATATAAATGAACTTCAAGCTACATTAGACAGTAAAGCCGACAAGAACCATACACATAAATCCTTCACTACTGTTAGAGCAGACGACATAATATTGAACTTTGACCTTGGTTCAAGTGCACCTTTAGAGAATCCAAGCACAAGCGTAAAAGATACTCTTAACAATTTAGATAAGAGTTGCAGGAATACCGAAGATCATGCCAGAAACTTTGAAGCATATGAACTACCCGCAATGTTAGATAAGAAAGCTGACAAGAACCATACACATAAATCCTTCACTACTGTTAGAGCAGACGACATAATATTGAACTTTGACCTTGGTTCAAGTGCACCTTTAGAGAATCCAAGCACAAGCGTAAAAGATACTCTTAACAATTTAGATAAGAGTTGCAGGAATACCGAAGATCATGCCAGAAACTTTGAAGCATATGAACTACCCGCAATGTTAGATAAGAAAGCCGACAAGAACCATACACATAAATCCTTCACTACTGTTAGAGCAGACGACATAATATTGAACTTTGACCTTGGTTCAAGTGCACCTTTAGAGAATCCAAGCACAAGCGTAAAAGATACTCTTAACAATTTAGATAAGAGTTGCAGGAATACCGAAGATCATGCCAGAAACTTTGAAGCATATGAACTACCCGCAATGTTAGATAAGAAAGCCGACAAGAACCATACACATAAATCCTTCACTACTGTTAGAGCAGACGACATAATATTGAACTTTGACCTTGGTTCAAGTGCACCTTTAGAGAATCCAAGCACAAGCGTAAAAGATACTCTTAACAATTTAGATAAGAGTTGCAGGAATACCGAAGATCATGCCAGAAACTTTGAAGCATATGAACTACCCGCAATGTTAGATAAGAAAGCTGACAAAACTTATGTGGATGCAGAACTAATAAAGAAATTTTCGAAACCAGATACAATGACATTTACAACAGAAATTATAAATGGTGAACCAACAACTCCATTTGAATTTATTAGAGGTCTTCAACCAGAAACTTTTGAATTTTTCTTGGATAATTCTATTGAACTAACATTACATTATAAAAGTGGAACAAATGCAACATTTCATCCGGGAGATACATTCCAAATGGTATTTAATAACATAAGTTCTTTAGAATATGTTTATAGAGTTATGAGCATATATGATTTAATATATCCTATAGGAGCTGTTTATACGTCTATGAATCCAATAAATCCAAACACTTTATTTGGTGGTAGATGGTATGAAATAGTTGACAGTTTTCCATTCTACACTAATACGCAGTCAATGAAGATGGGAGGTTCAAAGAAAATCGGTATTGAAAACCTTCCTTCACATATGCATAGGTTCAGTGGAAGAACATCTGTGGAAGGAAACCATTCACATTCAATAACAAAAAGAGGTTATATAAATCTTGCAGCGGGTTCGAATAGACAGGGAATGAACAGATATGATATCTCAGATGACCCCAAAGATGTTAGCACAGGTATTTTCTGTGGAACTGCAGGAAATCATACACATGTTGTAGCTGGTATTACAGACCCAGCAGGTAATGGAAAAGATTATATGCCTCCTTATATAACAATGCACGCTTGGATACGAGTTGGTTAAACTCTTTAACTTTACATAAATGAGCTTGAAAGAAGTATTCGAAACAACATCCATGGAGGTCTTTTAAGAAATTCAATGAAGCTGCAAAGAGTTCGGGATTTACTAACAGAGCTGAAGTGAAAAGGTTCTTTAACAAAAATGTTGTACATCAAACAAAAATAAATCCTTACGACTACTTTTTACCAATTTACTCCAACACTCCTGACGCATACCAATTTGACACTCTCATTCAAAGCAGAAAAGGAGGACATAAACCATTCCTCATCTTCATAAATGTTAACACTCGTAAAGCATATGCATATCCAATGAAAAATAAAGGAACTCGTGAAGTGTTAAGAGTTTTACAAAAGTTTGTAGCAGAACATAGCCCAAGTACTTTAACATCAGGACCAAGACAGTGCATACCTCAGTAATGAAATCACAGAATTTCTCATTAAGCATAACATAACTCACTACACTACTGAAGACCATAACCATAACATACTTGGCATCATAAACCGCTTCATAAGAACGCTCAGAGATTTAAACCAAGAGCGAGACTTTACCGAAGAAACAATGAAACATTTTCTCGAAGTATATAATTCCTCAACACATTCTACAACAGGACATACACCAAATTCAATGACACAACAACAAGAAGAAAAGTATATACAAAAGAAACGAAGCCAAACACAAAATATCATAAATTCAACACAATTTACCCTCATTCCTGGTACAAAAGTTCGTGTAGTTCTTGACGACAAACCGTTGACAAAGAAACGTTTAAGGTTAAGTAGAAACTATTATATCGTAGACTCTACGCAAGGTAATGGATATCTTATAAAAGCTGCTGACGACTCCATAGCATTTTACCCTCGTCATAAATTAGTTGAAAGTAGTAATGGCAAACTTGCTGAAACCATTGACGAAGCAAAGCGAGGAGTGGTTATTGAAATACTTGGCTATAACATAAACGATGACACTTATAAAGTAGATATGAAGGAGGCGTTGAAGATGTTATACCATCTAAGAACTTGAGAGAGTCGAAGCCAACACATCTGGGACCATTAGAGCGGGAGTACTGGAAAGACAAAAATATGCCAGAAAGAATAAGAAAATTCTTCTAAACTTTTTCATTAGATGTAAATCAGACATGAATGAGAACAGTCATGATATCATTAATGGTACCATTTATTTTTGTCATAAATGTTTTCAGTGTCACCACGTCACCATGTCACCAGGTTAATTAACTTCTCTTAAAATTACTGACAACATGACATTTTGACAACAGTCCAGGAAATAAACTTCTTCATCGTAAATGTTTTGTCAAGACTTCATCGTATATGTTTTGAAGAACTGAAGGTGTCACCAGGTCCCTCGGTCCCTCGGTCCCTCGGTCATTTTAACTTCTCTGAAAAAGTGTGACAACATGACATTTTGACAACAGTCCAGGAAATAAACTTCTTCATCGTAAATGTTTTGTCAAGACTTCATCGTATATGTTTTGAAGAACTGAAGGTGTCACCAGGTCCCTCGGTCCCTCGGTCCCTCGGTTAAACGAACTTCTCTGAAAAAGTGTGACAACATGACATTTAGACAACAACACAGGAAATAAACTTCTTCATCGTAAATGTTTTGTCAAGACTTCATCGTATATGTTTTGAAGAACTGAAGGTGTCACCAGGTCCCTCGGTCCCTCGGTCCCTCGGTCATTTTAACTTCTCTGAAAAAGTGTGACAACATGACATTTAGACAACAACACAGGAAATAAACTTCTTCATCGTATATGTTTTGTCAAGACTTCTTCGTAAATGTTTTGTCACCCGTTGAATTTTGTATAAAATATTTTTTTTATTTTGTATGTAAGAAACAGAAAATGACAAACATTGAGTTTGAAACAGTTAAAAAGATAGACAATGACACCAAAGTGGTTCGAATTGGTGATTTAAACGTAAGATACTCAAAGAAATACAAGAAATATTCTTTGTCAGACATTATATCTCCATCTGGAAAGAAAGCATTCGACTGGGTTAAAATTGCTTCAACTCAGAAAATTTTGACAAGAAATCCTGAGCTTATGATATCAGTAGCATTTCATGGAACAAGAGCATATCTTATAGACAAAAGTCTTATACCAATAGTTTTGTTATGGATTGACCCAGTTGTTGGATATAACTTCATAACATATGGTTCATTCGATACGGAACGTTGCAGTGAAGGCTTACTTTACATCGTTCAGAAACCGAAGGACTTCAATACAAAGAGATATAAGATAGGAAGAACATATAATATAACTCAAAGATATGACAGTATAGTCAATAGAGTTAAGGTTGTGTTCGTTAACGATATGAGAGCTGCTGAAACAGAACTACTTGAAAAGTTTGAGAAAATGTATGGTGCTCCCACGAAAGGTAAAGAAACGTTTGAAGTAGATGAGATAGGTAAAGCTATAAAATTATTTGACGAAGTTGCTGAAAAATACATGTAAAGCGTTTATTTTTGGTCTTTTGTGAAAGTCAGGAAATAACGCTAATTTTATTTTTATTTATTTTTTTTATTTTGTATGTAAAGACAGTAATGACAACATCAGAGAACACAACAACAGTTATAGTCCATGAAGCTATAAATGAAGAATACGAATACATACAGTATAACAAACAGTTACGTCTCATTCGTTCAGTCAAAGATGACATGTACCAAATGCAAAGTATAATGAATGCTCTTCGTTCTACAAAGCAAGCATATCATTGGTTTGAAAACAACAGACAAAAGAACTTTTAGAAGAATTTCCTCATATGATTGCTTCCCTCGAAAACCGAGAGAAGAGATTCCGTACGAAAATCGCAAGAATTTGGCACCTGGTTTGAAAGGTTATTATGTTCATAGACTTTTAGTAAACGCTGTAGCAATGTGGGCTTCACCTCGTTATGCTTGTTATATTTTCATGATGTTAGATGAACTATATAAAGCAGAACGTGGAGAGATGGAAAAGAAACTTCAAGCAAAAGATGAAGTCATTGAAGCAAAAGACAAAAGCCTTCAGAAAAGAATACCACGTTCGGTACCAAAAGGAAAGGAAAAGAACTATAAGTATATGATTTATACTGAAGAGATGGAGAAAGAAGAAGACAGAGATATGGTTATGTTGCATTTAGTCAGAAGAAACAACAAAAGCTTTTACGACCTTGCTAAGATTTACAAATCTGACAGAAATTGGTTCTATCGCGAAAACTTACCGATTTCAATGACACCAAATGAGCAAATAAAGGAAATTGTCAAAAATACTCTTCCTCAAACACACTATGACATCAAAGGTTGCACAATACTTACATTCAAAGAAGACTTAACATTACTGAAGGAAAAAATAACAGAATATTTTGACAACTTCAAAGAGGAAGAATAAAAAATCTAAGCTAATTTTATTTTTTTTATAAAATTTTATCTCATATGAAAGAACATGAATTTAGAATATTCGGAACTCATGACAGAAGAAGAGAACGAACAACATGTAAAAGATTATGCAAAATTTCTGAAGACATATAAAGCATTTAAACAATATCTAAATGCTTCTAAAGATTATGCAAAATTTCTGAAGGTATATAAAGCTTATGAAAAAGCGTATGAAAAGTTTATACATTGGGGAATTGTTGTAAAATGTCCATATGAAGACTAACCAAAAATATATTTTTGCTTAAATAGCTTCAGAGTCAATTTCTTCAACCATTTCACTTCCTTCGTCAATGTCAATAGAAGCTTCTTCAACCTTTGGTAAGAATTTCTGTATAACATCTTTGTTCGTTATTGTCTTCAGAGATGAAGGATAATATTTTACATTTGTTTCACCCTTCTTATATTCTTTCTGTTCGGAAAGATTCATAGCAATACTGAAGAAGTCAATGTTAGAGTTCTTTATGACAGTATAATGAGTATCTTTGACATTCACGAAGAAACTCTTTTGTTTCAAAACTACTGCTAACTCTTGTGAAGTATAACGTTTGCGGTCAATGACGATAGCTAATGGTCTGACATACTGACCGTATTTAGATTCTTTCACAAACTTCTTGTTAAAGATAACATTAACGTTTGCAGCACCATTGAACTCATTCTTGATGGCAGTAGCGAGAGCATTGTATGAAAAGAACTTGCAATCTTGCATGTGTTTCATTATAATAAAAATATTAAATTATTTTGAAAAATAACTTAAAAAAATCTAATCTAATTTTTCAAAAAAAATATTTTTTATCCGATAGAAAAGATGACAGAAAAATTAACTTTTTACATAGCGCCAGACCCTTCTTGCCCACATCTTTTTAAGCCACAATATATAGACATAGAACTAAATAGAGAAAGCGAAATTCTACAAACAGAAGAAACATATAGAGACCTAGATAACGAAAATGGATATGCGCTATTCTGGTTAGATTGTCCTTATAAAATGTATGAAAAAAAAGGCTTTATATGAAGAATATAGAAAATATTGTCATGAAAACGATATAAGACCAAGCTCTAGAGAAAAATTCTATGCTGGTATAAAACATCTTTTCGAAGTTCGGAATGGCAAATATAGAAAGAAATAATTTTCTAAGTTTATTTTTTTCAAAAAATATTTTTTTATTTCTTACTAAAGATGTATCGGAAGTTGTCTAAGTTAGAACACTCGGAAATAAAACAACTTCTTACAGAAGCTAACATAGATGTTGCAAAACATTACGCAACAAACAAAAAGGCACTCGCTGACATCCTCAATGACTACAATGGTGAAATAACTTATGATAGAATTCATGAGTTCATAAAGCCGCAACGCGGCGAGGACGAAGTCCATGCAAGAGCATTTCCTTTAAATGACATTGCTATTGACTTATATCATAGACGTTCAGTACCTCATGAAGTAAGAAGAGAAATGTTTGACATAACAAATGCAAACGTTGGTGAAACAAGAAGAAGAGACGACACACTGAAACAACAGAGAAGAGAGATGTTTAAAAGTGCTATAGAACAAGTTCGTAAAGCTAACGATGTCA